TGGCATATTTCGGTAACAAAATGAGTCCTAGTCGAGTTATAATTTCAGTTACTTTATCAGACTTGACATCGACTGCGGAATTCAAAGGTTGACGGAAGAGGAAAGTACTGTTGATCGTTGAAAAGGAAAGAGGGACGATTTAGACATCGCTTCCCACTTAGGACACAAATACCTATAAGATATATGTGCTGAGTTACCAAAATACAGACAATCCAATTTCAGGCTGGAGTCTGTCAAGTGGGAACTGGTACCTGAATTGGGAATCGGTTCCAGAAGCCAATACTTGAAGGATAACTCTCTGCCAAGTGGGAGCCGATTCCAAGATTGGGAACCGGTTCCACAAGTCCTAATTGCAACAGGTTTACTAGTTACCTTGTTCTGCTGAATACTTTTTCAATCTAACTTACCATCTAAGTCCTATGCATGAGGTTTCCTTATTTTTTTTTTAAAGGAATAGGATTTTGCAAACCTCTATATAAACCATGTCATATACATTGGTTTATTCACGGCTTTTAATCATTATTCACATATCATACAAAGCCTTAGGAAGTTTATCCCTCTCAGAAAATCAAAGTTGATTTTTTCTGTAGTCTTCCTAGAACATACACATATTTACCTAGTTAGGTTATAGTTGTGGAGTTCAAGTCCTGATCGTGATCATATAGTTGTATCAACATCGATCAGATGAAGCAGATCTTCTTCTATATCATTCAGACGATTGAAAAACAGAAGTAAAAGCAATCACATTTTGAAAGGGTTGAAGCATTCGTGGAGTGCTGTCTGATCTACCTGCTACTCTTCTACAAATAAGTGTAAGTTTGAGGTCAAGTTGCTGTTGAACGGGGAGTCGCAAAGCCAGAAGATCGTCAGCGGTTTGATAGGGTGTGAGCCAGAGTCAAAGTTCGGTATATTTAGTTTCAAGCATAGTGGATTGGTTTACTTTAGAATGCACAGTCCATGAGGTTTTTCCCATCACAGTTGACGCATTTTATCAACTGGGGTTTTATCGCTAAAATCCTTGTGTCATTTCTAACTTTATACTTTGTTTTATTTTATCTGCATGTGATTAACTGTTTAATTGCTAAAATATAAAATAAGTAAGGTTATTAAGGACATAGATCTGTTTTACAAAACAAACAAAAACTTTCTAAGTATTTTCCGCTGCGTACGACTCACACAAATAGGTCGTATAGAGGAAATTTCCCGAGGCAAGATGTAATAACCCTAATTTTAAAAGGGATAAAAATGGAATTTAAATTTTATTTTTGTGCATTTTAAATTGATTTTGTATCTATATGCTTATGTGTCCAATTGTTTGTTTATTTTAATTCATTGTGTTATTTTTTTAATTGTTTGTTTATTTTAATTAAGGGTGTAATTCTTTATTTGTTTGTTTATTTTAATTAATTGTTTTATTTATTTTATGTGTTTTAAGTGATTCGTTGCTTGCTTATTTGATTTAATTAATGTGTGTTATTAAATTAATTATTTATTAAGTATTTAATTTTTGAACAGGGTAATTATGTAATTCTCATTAACTGGGGTTTTAGATACGTTTTAGTTAGGGTTTTTGGAGCCGTCTCATAAGCATCTGATATGTATCTAAACTGGGTTACTTTGTGGGCCGACGAAGTTAGGGCTCTGTGGATTAGGGTTTTAATCTTACAATTATAAATACCTCAGTATATGTTAAACCTAGGGTTACATATTGTCGTAGCTTTTACACGGAAAAGTCTGCCAAATAGAGAGAATTACAGAGGGAGTTTTAGTGAGAACATAGCAGTTTGTGAGAATTTCGACTGGGGTTCCAAGGTTTAACCAAGGAGAAGGAAGGAGCAGAGGTTCTAAGAGGTTAGACAAGTTTCTGTGGATGTCGGAAAAAAAAACTGAGACCAACGGCAACAAGGGTTTGTTTGCAAACCTATTTAGGCAAGTTCTATCTTCCTCTTTCCCTTTGGGCCGTGTTCTGTGCACCTAGATAATCTCTAGGGTTTAATCAAGCAGAAACTGGAATTGATATGTTTATTATGTGTTATATTGTTGGTCTGTATGTGTTGAAATCAATATCTGTTACAGTGTATGTAAGTGTTGTTTCAATTTTTTGTACTTTAAGCATATGGTTTCTATCGTAGCCTTAGCTTCTGCATTTGATTGCAACTCTTGTAAAGACAATATAGGAACTCTACTGGGGTTATACAAAACTCATAGGGATGTTATTATTCTGTTTTAAATACGTGTGCAATCTGTTCCGTTTCTATTTCTGCATATAGTTTCAGTTTTGATACTAAAAGCTTGGTAAGTTCAATAGCAACCTTAAGCTTTGTAATTGATTTAAATTACTGTAATCAAACCTTGGAGATGTTAATAGAGTGATAATAAACCCTTAAGATCAGTTTAAGAAATAAACAGAAGGGTAGGGACTGACCAGAGAACGAGCATATAGGTAAAAACGGAGCAGAGATGAACTGGAGGCTCTCAAGAGGGAGATAGTCGGCTCTAGAAAGTCAAGAGCCGGCTCCCCTTCAGCAAGAGCCGGCTTCTAGGGAATTGGAGCCTGCTCCAATAGGGGAAGAGCCGGCTCTTCCATTCCAAGAGCCGGCTCCAATTTGTTTTACGTCCAGAAAGGGTTTTCTAGGGCTTTGTTTGGTGTTTTGAGCACTGTTTGAGCTTCTGAGTGATTCTAATGAACTGTAGGGACTTAACAGAGGATCTAAGTAGTTAATTTTAAGTGTTATTAAACTTATTGTTGCATGATTTAAGTCTTTAAGACAAAGGATGAAGCAGTGTAAAAACATATAACGGTGTATGCTACTAATAGAGAAAGGAACTAAATGGCTTGATTAAATTTTAGAAATTTAATGAGACTTCACGGGGGGGATTAAATAGTTAATTTTGGGTGTTATTAAGACCCTAAATTGATTTAAGGTTAATTCTAAATTAACGGATCAAACTGTATAACACTTATGTACAATTGTATACGATTAGTGGATGGATGAAGTTTTAAATGCTTAAGTTTATTTTTAGGCATTCCAGTGGGATGTAATATATTTATAAAATGGTTTTAAATATATTATAGGGTCATTGATGTGTTAGATGTGATCTATGCAGACTCTGGATGTTAGTTGTTGATTTATTAAATCATCTCCTGCAACTATATGGTTAATTGTTTGGATTTAAATTGCTGAAACATTTAAAAATCTTCTGTAATTAATTCGATATTGGTTTTGGATTTTAAATTGCTGTACTATCATTCATAGTCTGTAATTTACATGGTTTTAGTTTTAAGTTGTTGAAATACTAAATACTATTCTCCAATGATATGGATGGTTGGTTTTGGACTATAAATTATGTGCTTATTATTTATGCCTTGTAATTTACCTGGAATTATGTATTGGAACATAATTGCTGAATTCTTATACTTAATTCGGTCAATTATTTGGAATCATATATTGGATTATAATTGCTGAATTCTTATATTAAATTTGGCCAATTATTTGGGATTATGTTTTGGATTTTAATTGCTGAATTCTCACATTAAAATTCTATCAATTATCTGGGTTTGGTTTTGCATTGTAAATTACTTGCTTATCATTTGAATGTGGTAATTTACATGGATATGGAGGATTGTATGCACCGGTATGGGACGGTGGCATGCTAGGTATGGTTTAGCTCAAAATGCTAATTCCTACCTTATGGATTTTAATTGGTGAACAGCTTTGCCTGTTCTATTAATTATATGGATTTTGTGGATTGTATGTACCGGTATGGGACGGTGACATATTAGGGACAGACTGATTCAAAATACTCAGTCCTACCTATTTTGGGAAAAAGTGTACGAATTATAAAAAACATAATTCTCCTTATATTTAAGTCTGTGCAGTTGAATAAACTGAACGACTTACTGGATCTCTTATATAAGTCTGTGCAGCTGAATAAGCTGAACGATTTATTGGAGTTCCTATGGATGGATTTGAATGGACTTTAAATATATGGTTATGGTATCACGAGATGAGCTTGAGTCTCAGACTCGTTGGTTAGGACGCGTATATGCAGTGGATGTGTAGCTAGCTATAGTAGGTTGAGGTGTACCCTGTTAGGTCTAGGTACTCATGCCCACCTTTGGGTGCGTTTTCGCATGTTACCTTCTATTCAGGTTGAGACCCCTATTGTAGTTCAGTGAATGTCCCATAGTGTGGATATATATATATGTATGGACTAGATAGATATTGTGAGGTATCTACAGTGTATCTGCGTATCGGGTCACTGTATAGATTTCAGTTAGATTAGAACTTGCTCGTGGGCCTGACCCACTCTTCTATTATTCTTTACAGGTGTTCGTTAGTTCCAGGCTGCAGAGCTTGATCGTGCTGAGCAGATACAGTTGTTCACTCCACCGATGACATATGAGTATATTTTGTGTGTAGACTTGGGTTTTGTTTCCTGTCTTTTGAGTGCAGTGGGTTATTTTAGGGGTCCATTAGATGAATTCCCGAGTTGTATTGGAGAGCGATATGTGTTCGTGGTGAATCAGTTGTATCTGAAATATCTTATTTATCAATGGAGTTATTTTTCTGAGGTTTTCAAATATTGGATTACTCTTTTAGTTTTCATTTCAGCAAATTTTATTTATCTCTTTTGATATAATTATTCTGTGTTCGATTATTGCTAATTGTTTTGATATCCTCGGGTAATCGGGCGTGGGCCTGGCCAACCCGCATCCGAAAATCCGGGGGTGTCACACAAGAGGCCATGGATCAACTAGATTGTAGCAAAATAGTCTCTAACATTTTGTTTTTGTAGTCCCATTTTGCTTTTGGGTTTGGAAGCTTGGATATTTCATGTCTGTTTTAAAGTTTGGTAGTAGAATTTGTAAACTGAAGTATTGTTGTCTTTTTCTTTTGCTTTTGAACTTTGCTATTTCAAAGATAATGGTTGTCATCTTGAGAGCTAAAAGAAGGTAAAATGTATAAAAATGAATTAAATTCATCATTAATTTTTATTATTTATTTATTTATTTTATGCTGTTATGCTTAGAAGTAGACTTTTTTTCTTCTGTTATACCTCATTCACAATTATATTTTTGTTTTTATAAAGCATTTTGTTTTGTTGTCTTGTTTGATTAATTTATGCATTTTTATAAAGCATGTTATATTGATTATAATGAATTCATATTTAATTCACTATTCTATTTTTTATTTGTATAAAATTTATTTAAAACATATATTTACTGATACAAACATATACCACTCTAATTTTTTTTTGAAATATGCCACTCTCCTGCTCTTTGTGACTTAGCCCGTCTTTATTTTATTTTTTTTAAAAAACAACCACTAAGGATTATTTTTATATTTATTATTATTATTTTTTAAGGCTTCCAAAATGAAAGCACGACGCCGTTTTCCCGCTCTGTTACCCATCGTCCTCCCTCTCTCGTTGATCGTCACTGAGAATCATCTTCCGACGATTGAATGTCGCTCAACAACGTCTAGATCTAGGGACCGGCGATGTACGACGGATCGTTGATTATTTTAGGAATCGACAGCTTCTTAGATCCGAATTTCACAGTTTCCAAACCTCAGATGTGTGGTATCAAATTATAATCTGAGCCCTTTGCTCGGTATTCTTTGGTTCCACGAAGCTTTTAAAGCACTGAGATCCAGATGATACTCTATCATGGCTTCGTTTCTTGACCTGCAATTGCCGCTCAATCTCTGTTCGGAGCAAGCCACTCAATGTCTGTTCTTCTCAGTCTCAGAAGTCATGATCCACAATAGAAGTGTATAGAGTACTTAAATTAGATTTGATCTGTAAATTTATTTGTTTGATTTTATCTCAATAGAAGTGTTAGTTGTTAAAGTACCAGTTTGGGGCTGGGATTGGTTCACCTAACCTACTCCGAGCGGTTGGTGTGGTCAGGCAAGCGAAACTCCTGCAATACTATGTTGATTTGCGCAGGGAGGGTTTCACTTCTCAGCGATCTAAAAAATGTAGTTTTAGAATGGAAAAAGGGAGAGCTTGAACTTCACCTGCCATTTCAGTAGAGTCTAATGAAGTAAATATCTACAGTTCATGAAACTTTCAGTTCCACAACATACATCGATCTAACTGTCTTCACAGCTGGTATAATCACAGTAATGTATGTATGAAAAGACACTCTGACTCTCTCAGTCCATATTTGTTAATTTGCTTGCTTTGTAGTTGCTATTTTGAACGTGTTTTACTTTGTTGTATTATTTATTTGTTCATAGATTTTTCAGATTACATAGAAGCTTAATTTTGTAAGCATGTTTGTGGTCTTATTTCTATTTGGCTTGATTCTATGAATGGTTCTTCTCTTCTTTTTTATTTTTCCAGATAAACGTTTTTCCATGAATTTGCTTTTTGATTCTTATTTTCTTATAACCATTTTTATTTGTTTTTATCCCAAGAAATTAATGTTTGCCAATGTTCGTGAAAATTGTTATATACCTCTTTTAAAAATTATTTGAATGCTCAAATAAATCATGTTTACTGATCACAGGAAGAGAACATTAAATCCAAAGGTCTTTGAAACAATTACTTATAATAATAATAAAAAAAAAATTCTCTGAAACAACCATGTGCATTACTCCTAATCAATTGAAAAATCTAAATAATTGGGCTTAGAGCTGTGCCTTTTTGTGAGTGTCTCCTTTTACAATGATCACAGTAAATTTATTTATTTATTTTTTAACTCTTTTATTCAGTTCACTTGCTGCAGTCCACTAGGCTCATATTTCACCATATGGGTCAATAATTTTATTCAGTTCCCTATTCGTGCAATATGTCAATAATTTTCTTGCATCCCACATGGTTCAATCTAGGCAGCCTGAATTGGTAGGTGGTCCATGCGTTTTTGTTTTTAAGCATGTGATATCATATACTTCAATTTTCAGTTTGTGCTTCCAGTTGGATGGCCAAGACGGATCTAGTGTGCTCGTTGGAGTTTGTCCAAGAAGCTAATGTAATTGAGCTTCAAAAGTGAGAGAGAGAGAGACCTTAGATACACTACAAGGATTTGAACTGGATAATGTGATAAATTAACTAGAGTAAATGTATAAAGAATAATAATTGTCTGCACTCTCATATTAAAACAGTTGTTTTGAAGAGAAGTTTATATCACAATTTGGTATCAGATGGGTAGAATCTTGTAAGCGCTCATCCTATGTTCCTCCACTCAAATGCCACATCACATAAATGGGTCTTTGGAGGTATATTTCATGTATGTGTTTTATTTGGTTCACTATATTATACTTTTTATGTAACAAAATGGCGTGACGACTTCATTTTATATTTCAAATTTAGTCCAATCTTCCGTATCACTGTTTTTATTGCTTCTCAATTGCAGCTATGGCGGCGTTGCTTGATAATGCAGTCAATGAGGTGAATTTCTATTTAGTTTTTGCCGTCTCTGAATTTGTTGTTGGATTTTTAGATTTTGAACATGTTGTCTTAAGAGTTAGAAGCCATTAGGTAGGTCTATAAATCACTTTTAAACAGGATACTATTGCATATTCTTTCTACAACTGTAAAAAGTTATATTATCTAGAACAGGAGAAATTGTTTAAAGCTTTTCAGGTTAAGATCTCCTTCTGAACTTGTGCATTATGTTTCTTATTGATGATAATGCTGTGTTAGTGGTGTATGTTTGTGATTCAATTCTTGCTGTGTGTATTCTATAACTATCCGTGTATGTTTGACGTTGCAATAGGTACCAAATGGGGCTACTTTTGTTGTTACAGACAAGATTACCAATCCACGGGATGGGAATCCAGCTTTGCTCATTCAAGGTAGTTATGTATTTGAATATTGTTTGACTGTTGAAATCTGTTGTTGAGGTTGAACGAGAAAAAGTTTTCTATTATGTTTGTTTATCCTAAACTGATTAAGATACAGTTACTCAATTTGATTTCTGTTTACCTGAAATCTTATGCTTTAAAAATAGATGGTGGTAGTGGAATGGATCTGGAAGTGCTAAGGTTTTGTTTGAGCTTGGATTTTCAGACAAGAAATTAATATCCACCATTGGACAGTGTATGGATATTATTCTGGCCCTTTTCACTTTTTCCCTGCTTTCCTTTCTTCTCAAAATAAATGGTTGGCTGTAGCTTTTCAGACGGAAATGGTTCAAGACTATATGTATGAGACTTGGAGGAGATGCCATCTTCTTTATCTATATGTGAAATCGATCATGTTATCAACTTATTCCCTCCTCCCCCTCCCTTTCTAGATTATCAGCTTATGCACTTTATCTCTGTTTGCTTAGTTCCCCGAATTAATACAGTTATCAAAGGAAGTTGGTGACACTAAATTATATTAATAGAAAATAAAATTCGGTAATTAGACCTCTAGTCATTTGTCAATACGGTTATTATTAGTTTTTAATATACCCATTTTACTTGGAATCATATATAACATACCTTGGGTTGGGTCCTAACTTGTAACTAATGAGTCCTGAGGGCTTATTATATGTAATTGTTTTTTGGTGTTTATATATGTATATATAAATTTGAATTGGGATTTCTCTTAGCATATGTATATTCCACAGTGTAATTGGAATTGGAAGTACTTCATTACCTTGCTCCGGCATTCATCTTGAAACATAATGCTTCCTCAACCAATTTAATATAGGAATATGTATCATATATTCTTGAAGTATTTGGTTATGTATTTTGACTGGTTGTGCTCTTATTTACATCAGTCTTGTGTTCGTGATTAGGACAGTAAGTCAAAGTGTCTGACTCCTCTCTTATACGTTGTTGAGACAAACAGGCCATGGCAGAATAGTTGTACCAATGGTGAGTGGGACATCTTGGTACCTTTCTTTTTGAATTCTTTCAGGAAAAATTACTAGGAAGTCCTACTTTTTCCTTTAAAAAAACAGTAAGTCTTATAAAGTTTCAATAAAATCATTAAGTTCTATTTTTGAAACTTTTTTTCCATATTAGTTTTAAAGCTCTCAATCTTCCATTTATACCTTCATAGATTAGAATTAAATTTGTGCAATTATAAATTTCTTGCAAAAATTGATTTGTTTTGTAAACCATCTTTTTCTAAAATTGAAAAATGTTAATCTTTTCTTCATAGTGGTAACAATAAAAAACAATATTACTATTTCAGAGAATAGAGTGAGATAAAGTTTGGGTACGGTTGGAAGTTTATGAATTTAGAACTTATACGGAAACATTTATCAAAATGTCAGAATTAACGGTGTATTGAAAATTGATATGACTTTGGTCATTAGAAGGAAAAAAATAGGACTTATGGGTAATTCCATTCTTTTATTAATTCCATGTCGACTGTTGATATGCGTACATGTTACTGTATATGGTTAATACACATCTGGCATACTTGCTGATGCCAGAAAAGTTGAAAACCACCTTTCAGGGACTCCCATCTTGGAGATCAGATGATGCCCTGATTGGATAATGACAATTTTGGAAGATGATTCTTTTTTTGGTGGCTTTATATAAAAGTTATGCAAGCATAAATTGAGGCTTTGGCTTAGTTTAATACCTGGTCAGGAGTCTCATGACTTTTCATTTTGGCTTCAGTCCAGCCAATGGCGATCTTTCCCTTATCTTCTAGGATCTGTCTCTGTGTCGAGGTTCATTACTTAAGACAGAATCCTTAAAATAGTTTTACACTTCTGTTTTCTTGCATGCAGAATGCAGTTTTAACTTTTAAGTTGGCTTACCGAACCTTTACTCTTTCCCAAAAGTCCAAAAGGTCCCTTTAAAGATTGCTCAAATTATAATGATTGAACTGTTGGTGTTTCTTTGATCAGCCCAGCTTTTCGTACTCAATACTAACTTCAGTTTTACTCTCTTCTTACAGGTGGATTATGAGTTCATGCATCAACTCGAAAGTTGGAGCCCTTGCTTCCTAATGGTAAAGAAAAAAATTTATCTAACCTATCAGTTCTTTTGCAGTGGTCTCTTTTGACATAATAAAAATAATAGTAACATTTCTGTTTCAAGCTTCTCATTTGCATTCTGCTTTTGCTTTATAATTGAGATATTATGGAATATTTTTGCCTCCTTGCTTAACAACAGGTAAAAGAGAAGGAAAAAAATTTACGCTCCCAAAAAATAAAATATGCTTATCTAGTTTTTTACAATTTTATTTGTATAGTTAGGCAGAGAATAATGGGGCTTTATGGATGTTTGGTGGGAATAAATTGCTTAGTAATGTTTTGGTAACATTTGATGTGTTGTTATATGGACACAACACTCCATTCACTATAGTTAAACTGTTAAATGAAAATAAAGTCATTTATTTGTGGAGGAAAAGAAAAAAAAAGAAAACAAAGTCATATATTTATGAAGAAAAGTAAAAAAGAAAGCAAAGTAATTAATTGAAATCCCCAAAACAGTTGAGATATTTCTCATAATTGATTAGCATTGTATTATACCACAAAATTGAATGGGTGGACCAATGTTCAAACACGGTATAAAACCACTCAAAAAAGTACAAGAATATTAGAATAAAGAGGCATATATTTCTCAAGAAACATTGGGAAAATAACTTAAGCATGTTGCGAAAGATTTGTGCGTACTAAACAATGACATCAATGATAATTATTCAATTCTCAAGTTGTGAATTTGGAGTTCTCAGAGTTTCTCCTATCACATCTTTGTTGCAAAAGCCTCAGAGAAGATAAGGAGTTAGTGAGTTACTCTCCAAATTAAATGCTCCAACAGTTTGTTGATTCTAAGAGATCTGCTTGTGGGAAAGATTCTTATAGAAGCCAATCAAAAGTTGCTCAAGAGGGGTAAAAAATGCTGAAGCCTACAAGAGACTTGGTAAGGGTGCATATGGGTGGGGTTTAACGAGGAATCTGGGGCTACGGTTTTGGGACAAAGAAGGGATTGGGAAATCCAAATTACAAGGTCCTCAGTTGGATAACTTGGGAATTGAACTTATAAATTCATCATCACCGTCCTTGCCTTTGTCCCATATGGATGGGGTCAGCCACATGAATTCTCTTTTTCCACTCTTTTGGTCCATCCTATTATAGACTATGTCTGCTCTTAATTTAGATTTTAAAAATCGTTTTTAAATACTTTTCCCACGTAAGCTTTGGTCTGCCTCTTTGTCGCTTACCCTCTAGACAAACAACTCTACCTCTTTTAACATGTGCATCATCAGGTCTGTGTTGAATATGACCATACCACTTAAGTCTACTTTTGCTAATTTTATCATTTATAGGCGCTATACCTAATGTTCCCCTAACACGTTCATTATTTATCTTTTCTGTTTTAGTAACTCCTATCATCCAACGTAAGATCCCATTTCCACTAATGAATGCATTGTATTTGTGTCTTTTTCAACGCCTAACACCCCACTCCATACAATATTGCTGGCCTAGTAACCGTTCTATAGAATTTTTTTTAAAGTTTATTTGGTATTCGTTTGTCACAGAGGATACCATTTTCACCTTATCAATTCCTTCACCACTATTGTAACCATCTTATAGGATTAACATCATTGCCATTGTTGCCAACCCCACCAAAACCTCACAAAATTATCTTTACAGTTCTATGAATTGAATATAACTGATGTTGATTGTTATTAAAATTTCAATCCGTAGGGTTTTTGTGAGCTCTGAAGAGACCTTCCACTACAACAAAATCGGCTTTTAACAACACATTTTCTACAAGGGGCGTGCATAGCCCTTGTAGAAAGTACTTTCTACAACAGGCCGTGTAAGCCCTCGTAGAAAAGTAGTTTTCAACAACAGGCCCAGATAGCCCATTGTAGAAGGGACTTTCTACAACAGGCCCGCATGGCCACTTATATAATAGGGTTTCTTTTTCTGAAAAGTTAATTTTGGCGGCTTGATGAAAAAAGGCGGCTTTTTTTTCATCAAGCTCTAGCAGCGCGCAAAAAAGGTAGCATTCCTATACCTCCCAAATTCGTACACATCAATCCATCAACCAAAATCCACACGAAACCCTAATCCTCTAAGCCCAAATTTTGCGAGTTTCACCTTCAGAGGAAAATAACCCAGGTACGTGCGTGTATATATATATATATATGGTTCATCTCTGTTCTTCTTTGAACCCTCATCTCTGTTCTTCTCCTCTCTTCCTTCTCTGAGCTCTAACACAGGTTCCCCGTGAGCGCAAATTGATCTTTTGATCAAATTCACTATCCAATCCCTAATCAAAAACAAAAAAATTCACTATCCTTCTTCCCACTAATCTCTCCTCAGTTTTCGCCTCTTTTTATCTCAAAAACCCTAGATTTATCTTTCTTTGATGTGCCCTCATCTAACAAGTTTGGTGCAAAATCGGCCGGTCTGTTAACCCGAGCCCCAAGAGGCACCTATTGGTCTCGTTAGGTCTGAGGCTTTTCATCTGAATCTGCCCGGGTAGTCAGCCAAACCAATCAACAACACCTTGAACCATCAACATCATCCACTTAGCTTACCTTGCTGATCCGTGTTCAAATGCTATCTCGTGAGGCGAAAGGATGGGATTGGGGCTCATAAACCATATTATTCTTGTTCAGACTCCCTAAGATAAGCGCGCAACGAAGAAGCGAAGTGTTTAAAAGGATCACAGTCATCACAGAACCTGTTATTTTCTCCATCAACAATAGATTGAAGCCCTTAAATCTCTGTAAGTTTCAAATCTTATATTATATTTCTTAATCACTTCACAATTTGTTGTTTGTTCTTCTCAATTCTGATACTTTGTAAATAATTGAGTTTTGCAATTTAGGCTTTTGATTTGCTTTTGAAAAATCTCTCATCATTCAGTCCTGTAGAAGAAAATACATATATACGTGTTATGATTATATGAGTTTAATGATATGTTATATAAATATTTCTCTTATAGATTTTGATTTCGTTGAAGTTATCATTTCATGCTTGAATGAGTTGATTGGCAATTGATATGATTTTTTTGCATAACATTTCAGTCTACCTACTGATTATTTGATGGAGATCGGTCAGTTGCCAAGAATAAACAAAAATAAAAGATAATAGTCCGTGATTCTATATTTCCAATTTGGATTCTTTCATGCATGAGTAGTTTATGGTTGTGACAGAATTTGGTTTATAGTGAACTCATTCTCTTCATTGCTTTTGAATTTGTCGAGTTAGGGATTTCAGCTTTTTCATACATTAATTTTGATGGCCTTTCTTCCTTTTATCCCTTCTCTTTTGGTACTTATTTAACACTTAGTGCTGCATATATCAGTTAGGCTTTGTCCAGTCCAAGTAAACATCAAGTGAGCTATTATATTAGGTTTTTGGAGGTAAAAATTAGTGGTTGTATATATTAAAGATGATTTTGACATAATTCCTAGATATCTTTATAATGGTGTGATTCTTCAATGAATTGTGCATGGGCCGGTTACAGGAGCATTCTCTACTTCTTGTTTGTATATATTGTTCTCCCTTGTTGGGTTTGTACGGGTCTGTGTCCTTGCTATATATGAGTGTTTGATGCTATATAAATCGGTGTACATGATTAATCATTGAATTATACTCTATTTATTATATTTTATTTGATGCAAAAAAGAATCAAATATAAAACCTTATTTAAAGTCTTAACAATCTATATACATGTATAGGGTTTGCAAAACAAGTGTGTGTTTTGCGTATATATATTTATGGATATGAAGTGAACTATGTTTAGAATGCTTACAATTAGCTTCCCAACTGCTGGGTTCTTAATCTACCCCTCTTGTAACGACCCACAATCGCAGGAACTCTTACGTGAGTTCGTACTCTCAATCATTGAATCGAGAGTGGAGTATACAAACACTACAACAAAAATGGTTATTTACCGGATTTTATTTACTAAATTTTAGCTTTAAACCTTGTAAAAAAGTAAACATTTCATTTTTGAAACTAAATTTTATATTAAAAACTAAATATTAATTTCAAATAAATAAAATTTAAACAGACTTACAGAAAATTTCTTTATTGAACTTCCAAGCTAGTACAGAGAAATATTACAAAAGAGAGAAAAGAAAAATTGAAAGATACATTGAAGAGAAACTTTGCCCTCTATTTATACATAAAATGGACTTGAAATTATCATTTTGAAGTCCGCATAGTGCATGGGATCGTGTGCTGGAATAATGCAGTCGGTCGGCCCACCACTAAGTTCTGTCTCCTTATCAGATAGAAAGTGGATATCTGATGAAGGAAATACTGTAGAACCAAAGACTTTTGGGAAAAGTTCTTTGGCTTCTTCTGTCGGCAGGATAAGAGGAATCTTTACTTTTTGGGTGGATTCATCTTGTCCCTCAAGTGACTGGTGAGAGAGTCCCAATAGTCTGCTACTGTAGGCTCATCTTCAGAAATAAGATCTTCATTGGGATCTTGTGCATAACCAGCTAGACAGGAAAACTGATTACCTTCTTGACTGGTCTGGCTAGAGACTGATATCATGGATGCATCATCTCGTACTGTAGGAGTGGAGGATTCAAAGGATTTAACAAATTTTGTTCTCATAAAATCCATGCATTTAACCATTAAATCTGCTTCGGTAATTAATGGTTGTTGTTTTCTGATCATATCTTTAACAAGTTCAAATGGGTTAAAGATTTCGGGTTCTGGAATAGTTAACTTTGGAATCTTATCCATGTATTCCATTGTTTTCTTTCTGATCTGATGGAGGAGGGCTTGGATAGGATCTTGAGTCATCCCTGACCACCATCTGTAACAAAAAATCCTCTGGAGGACTGGTAACTTTTCAGTGGTATAACCACATTGGAAATCCCATTTCCAAATCCAAGGGATTCCAAATTCAGTAAAGAACAATAGGGTGGATTTCCCTATAGGAATATTATCCTGTCCCCGTAATTGAGGATGAAATTGTTGCCATGGCAAGTATAATTGTCTGACTGATTCGGGCAACATATCCAGATCAGGGCCAAATATAGCCCACCAGGGTATAACCCAGTTTGGGAAATCAGCCTTAACTGATTGAGGGCATATCTTGAAGAACCAAGAATGCTTATGCTTCGGATTTTGATAAAAGAACGAATATGTCCAAGCTGAGATATAATCCCAATAGTTGTAATTGTGACCATAGGATATTTTCCTTGGCAAATTAGGATTTAATCCCCAATCACTAGGCCGTATAAGCCTCTTAAAGATAGCTTTACTATAAGTAAGAGGACTATCTTTGGAATTCGGAAATTGCTTCGTGTGGTTGATTTCCACAGAGGAAGTTTCAGTAAGAATGGCTTCATAGATATATCTATGGCGACCATCCGGTGCAGCATATTGTTGAGTTTGGAAATATCTGGATTTTACTTCCCAAGGATCTGGCATCCATTGCTCATCTTGAGAATCCAGTACCAATACTGTTTGAATATACCTTTGATTAGGTATCCATGGAGTTTCTTGTTCAAGAACCTCTTTCATGGTTGGTTTCTGTTGTTTTTGCTGGGTACTGCTGCTTCCTTTAGAAGGGGTGTTGAGCAGATCAGCAACATGTTCCAAATATGGAAATTGATCATCGTTGAGTGGTATAACCACTTTGGCCTTAGCCTTGTTTTTGCCACGAGCCTTTGGAGTATTACCCCGGCCCTGCCCATGTGGGGGCGGATTCATGAACCCTGCAAAAATTCACGAGTTAGAAAATCAGGTAAAGAATTAGAACTGCCTTTAATATATTCAATAGAAAAATCAAAAGCAGATAAATCAGCTTGCCAACCAGCAAATATCTGTTTGGAGACCAAATTCTTTACATCTTTTTCCAGTACTTGTTTAGCAGCACTACAATCAATGCGTAACAAGAATTTCTGATTGATTAAATCATCTTGGAATTTATAAATGCATTTAACCAAAGAAAGAATTTCCTTTTTGATGGTTGAATAATTTAACTGTGCATTTTTCCAAGTTCCTGAAGTGAAGCGAACAAGCTCCTCTGTTCCTGTGTTTGGATTTTTCTGTTTAAGAATACCCCCGTATCCAATATTGGAGGCATCTGTTTCCACAATTTTGAACCATGAAGAATTGGCTAGAGCTAAGCAAGGAATTTGTTTTGCTCTGAGTTTAATCTTCTGGACTGCCTTGGTGTGTTCCAAAGTCCATGGGGAAGGAGATTTTCCTTAACCTGGTGTACAAAATTGCTGTATCCTGTGCAAGATCTCTGTAGTGATTTCGAATATAATTCAAACTACCCAGAAACCTTTGAAGCTGAGTTTTATCCTTAAGTTCATCGGGAAACTTAGAAGCAAACTCAATACTGCGATTAATAGGTCTAATTTTTCCATCACAAATTTCATGTCCAAGAAATCTGACCTGAGTTAAAAACAGTTTTAGTTTAGGAGCAGATACTACTAAACCACTTCGGTAAATAACATCTTTGAAAATTTTCAAGTGTTTATAATGCTGATCGATTGATTTGGAAAATATGAGAATATCATCAATATAAACTATAGAAAATTCAGTAAAAGGATTAAATATGTCATTCAAAATATGTTGAAATTCTGAAGGGGCATTTTTTAATCCAAATGGCATCACTGTCCATTCATACTGTCCAAAAGGTACGCAAAAAGCTGTTTTGTACCTGTCCTCTTCTGCAATCTGTACCTGGTAATATCCAGATTTAAGATCAAATTTAGAAAAAATTACAGCAGATTGTAATCTATCTAAAAGATCTTTGATGTTGGGAATTGGGTACCGGATCCAACTCAAAGCAAGATTGAGTGGCCGATAATCAATAACCAAGCGAGGAATTCCTCGTTCCTTTTCAGCATTTTTATTGACATAAAAAGCTCTGCAACTCCAGGGAGAGTAGCTAGTAGTGACAAGCTTCTTTGCCATTAAAGAGCTGATTTCAGTTTTACATAATTCCAAGTAGTCAGCTTTCATGTGGCTGGGACTAGCTTTCGAAGGAATCATGCGATCGGTAAATCCCTTTTCATAGGGTAAAGAAACAATATGCTTCTTTCGGGCCCCAAAAAGCATTAGGAATTTCACTACAAATTTCCTTTAGAAAGGTTTGTCGTAATGACTCAATTTTCTGTTGCTCAGTGGGTTGTACCAATCTTTGATTAATTGCTAAGGAGAATACCTCCTTTTGCAAATAATTCAGTTGCTTTTCCTTAAAGATAATGTTATCTTTAAGAGCATTGATATGCTTGTTTACTGGTGGGGTCAAGAACTGGAAAGTAATTGACTGGCCATGTAAATTAGAGCATATTCCATGAGAATCAATTTTCTCAATTGGCATAATTAAAGCTAAAAAGGGGGTGCCCAAAATAACTTGTTGTGCCATATTTCTGATGAGTAAGAAGGTAGATGGTAAACAAACACCTTCTTTACAAATGAAAACATGATTAAGTTTATACTTAATCTGCATCTTACCTCCACTTGCACTGGTAAGACCTTGAGTGGTTTTCTCAAAATATTGAGTAGGAACCAATCCTTCCTGTATGCAGTTCATGTCTGCACCACTATCAACTAAGGCAATTGCATTAGCATCCCGAAGGGTTGCTTGAATACAAGCATCCATACCTAACAAGGTTAAAGGTTTAAAAGCAATTTGAATTAAACCTATATGGATGTACTTGTATTTGTGCATGTGCCTCTGAAGCAACTGAATTATTTGCAAAAGGAGGTATTCTCCTTATCAGTCTCTAGCCAGACCAGTCAAGAAGGTAATCAGTTTTCCTGTCTAGCTGGTTATGCACAAGATCCCAATGAAGATCTTATTTCTAAAGATGAGCCTACAGTAGCAGACTATTGGGACTCTCTCACCAGTCACTTGAGGGACAAGATGAATCCACCCAAAAAGTGAAGATTCCTCTTATCCTGCCGACAGAAGAAGCCAAAGAACTTTTCTCAAAAGTCTTTGGTTCTACAGTATTTCCTTCATCAGATATCCACTTTCTATCTGATAAGGAGACAGAACTTAGTGGTGGGCCGACCGACTGCATTATTCCAGCACACGATCCCATGCACTATGCGGACTTCAAAATGATAATTTCAAGTCCATTTTATGTATAAATAGAGGGCAAAGTTTCCCTTCAAGGTATCTTTCAATTTTTCTTTTCTCTCTTTTGTAATATTTCTCTGTACTAGCTTGGAAGTTCAATAAATAAATTTTTAAAAGAAAACTTCATATTTACCACATTTTCTTTCTTATTTACTGCGTTTAATTAACGTGGAAGCTTTGAGACCATCCACTTGTATTAATTACTTATCACACATCTGTATTGGATTATTGCCTTGAGATCAGTTGCTTACATTACTTGATCTAATCTATAGCCCCATCATACGCTGTGTGTGTGATGTACCATGTGCAATGCACTTTTGTCTTCAAAAGTAGAACGGTTCTCTTTTCTTGGGATGTTTAATTCTTCCTTCATTCATTTGAGTTTAAGTTTCATTTTTTGTGATGAATTGATTTTCTCTAATGGATATATCCATAGAGCTGTGCCTTCAAAAGCTATAGAATAAAAAATGCAATTCTGAATGCATTTGAAGTGAGTTTGCTTGTTTCTTTGAATTTTATCAAGTGACTATGTTTTGATCATTTGCATTTCTAGTGATGCATTTTTTATTCTCCGGAATATTTCTAGTGATGCACTGATTTTTATATGTCACATGGAATTATGCTTTCAAATTTTGTAGAATAAAGAATGAAAAGGTTATAGTTCCGTTCTCTTTGCATTGTTTGTTGCATGAAATTTTTTGTGTTTCTTAACCATTCTCCAAGTAGAGTTCACATTGCCTAGTTCATTTTCGGATTCTTTTACTTAGACATATATATATATTTTTATTGCTGCTTTAAGTATGAAGAGCTTGATGCTTTCATAATTGGCATTTTGTACTTTGCATAGCCACATCGATTCACTGGTTTCTTTGGCAGTTTTTAACGTGGATAGCTTCGCGAATTTATTCATCTCTTATGTACTTTTGAAATGTCAACAGTCCACTGGTGCCTTGATTGCTGTGTCAAGGCATGCAAGTGCAACTCCTTTGCGACCTTCTATTCTCAGTCACGGTGTTGGTTGGCAGGTAAAATTGACTCAGTGATAACTTTGTCTGTATTTTTGCCTTCATTAACACCTCAATGCTAAGCCTAAAAGACTCTAGATATGGCGCTATTTTCCACACTCAATTTTTACATGGGCTGCTTCCAAAATGAATAATTAGAATTAGTGGCCTACTCAATATTGTTGAACCTCCCCCCAACTAAAAAGAATGGTTCACGCGTAATTTAACTAAAATTTTCATCTGACATAGTAGTGGCATTTAACTAAAAAGATGGCTCTTTGTCTTGAAATGATGGGAAACTAATCTGCCATGTCACTTTGAATGGGATTCTTTTGGTCATGAATTCTGTTCATAAAGTACTTCTCCAAATTTGACTCTGTAATTGTCAATGTTCTGTGTGTTATAATCATCTTAATTCTGTTCTTTATCGAAGGGAGTGGGCATATTGTTCTCTGGAATATTTGGAACCGGGAATGGATCCTTAGTATCAGTGTAAGATTCTTGTGCAATAAATTTGTAAATTGTGTTGCAAATTTTCATTCTTAATCAGCAGGGGAATAAAACTTGATTTTTCCTCCCATTCTACAGTGAAAATGCTGGTTTGTTAGCATTGACACGTGTTGGCAGCCAAAGAGTTGTGCACATATCTGCTGGTTTCATGAATTTCTTTTCCATACTTGGTAAGTTAGCTGTTATGATGTCCAAATAATGCAAATAATCCGTAGTTTAAGTTTTTAACCCATAGTAAATAAACCTTCATTTCCAAGTACATTTGTTAAACATAATTTACTATTCAGGGAAATTCGGAGCTGTCTTTGCCTCAATCCCAGCACCAATCATTGGAGCTCTGTATTGCCTTTTCTTCGCCTATGTGGGTATGTGTTACCAAATGACGAAGTCCCTATTTTATTCTAATTTTTCTTCTCGAATCATGAAGCAGTTCAAGTTCAATAATTTTTCTTGAATTTGCGTTCATAGCAGTCGATTCTTGAAGTTTCTCTTCATTTTTTTTGATTCCTGAATTTGCGTTTCATTTAACGATTCTGCGCTTAATTTGAATCATTACATTCTTGATGATTCATAGCAGTCGATTCTTGAAAGAAACTGTAGAAATATTTTTTGATTAAAATTGTATGATAATGTTGACCTTCTATCATTCAGGAAAAAAAAAAAATATGTTGACCTTCTATGTATCCATTAGGTTTTGGAAAGATCAAATTAAGCGCAGTAGTTATGCTTTTAATTTCAAAGTTACACACTCAAGTTTGTTGCTTTCTTTTTGCTTCATGGTTTCAGTTTGATTATGTGTTTGATTGGACCATTTTGAAATATCAGCAATCTCAGCTTGCCAATCCTCCTTCCCGTCCTCTTGTATGTGTTGGTATAATTGTATGTGATCTCAATTCCTGTTGATATGAATAACTTGTTCATAATTTACAATTCTTTTGATGAATTTGTGCTTAAATATCTGACTTCTTGATTGATTCATAGTAGTGAACTGTGTCATCTAGGATCATAGTAGTTAATTTTCTTTGAAAGGCAATCATAGTAGTGAATTGTGTGTGCCTGAATTAAATTCCGTCTAGAATTGTGTGGAAAAGCAGTACCCTGCATGAGTAATTTGAATACTCCGAGTTGAGTTCATGTGGAAAAGCAGTGCAAGGCCCAGAAATTTGAGATACTTTTCCATGTACACAAAGTATTCCTGAATAGAGTAATTTGAGATATTTTATTGTGCTGCACCAGTCTTTTACTCTTAAATTATTAAGATATATTGTTTATATTGCAGGAAAATGAGACTAATGAAATCAAAAAGGGAACTAACACCTCCTTCCCTGCAGGTGCAGAGTGTTTCCAGGTACTTAATATCATTAATTCCTTTAGAACTTGGAATCAATGTCGTAACTATGGTAATAAGGCTCACACCATCCCACATATAGGATCAACACTATCACATAATGTGATATCATAAATTAACAACTTATTATATAACTTTGCCTTCTTCATAAGTAGGCTCAAATCCTGGTAAAATTAAGCTAACATATGATAGACATGGGGTTAAGCCTTTGTATTGATTGGCATAGAGTCCGGCATAACCTTTGGCATGAGATTTGTGCTCTTAAATTAATAACAAGTTGTTTATACTTGAGGAACATGAGACTGGAGAAATTCAGGAGGGAATCAAAAGCTCATTTACTGCAGAGTTGTTTCAGGTACTTAAAATCATTAGTTCCATTAGAATTTCTATAGGATCAACAATAGCCCGGAATGGGGTTAAGCCTTTTGTGTTTATTGGGATAGAGTCCGGCCATGGATGGGTTAACCTTTGGCATGAGAATTTTGCTTTTAAATTAATAAGATGTTGTATATGCTGCAGAGAATGAGACTGAAGAACTCCGAAAGGGAATCAAAAGCTCCTTCCCTGTAGAATTGTGCTTTCACAAGAACATTTTTACCCTGCATTCTACTCCCTCTGTTCGTCCAGAGCACCAGAGTAAGTTGCTGCTGTACATTTACCACACTCTTCATACATTTGTAGTCTCTTGTAAACATGTTACTCCTGTTGATGATGATGGATTTTTATTTGGAATATGCAGGCTTTCGCTTATAAAAATCCACCAACATTTTAGTATATAATAACAAAAATTTCTCGTGACAAAGCTGAAAATGCATAATCAGTATTCATTCTTGTCACTAAAGTCTCTGATTTAGTTGCTAAATGCCCTTTTGAGAATCAAATTTATTGCCATTCAGTTAAATTCCTACACTAAATTCTATTCATTTCAACACCAAAAAATGACACAAATTTGAGTAAATCATCAAATTTCATTATAAAATTGCATTACAATATTCAATTTCATGACAAAATTAAACGAACTCTCCAATGGTGTAGTACAAATTTAAACTAACAAGCAAAAAATAACTCTCAAGGGCTTCATACAAGTCTTCCATAATCTTAAATTTCTTCAAGCTATTTTTGGCTTTGGCTTTGGCTTTGACTTTAAGCACTTCACCCTTGTATACAAGAATACCCAGCAAGAGCCACTTTATTAGCTGCAACAAAGCAAATTTACATAACAATAGAGTCTATGAAAATCAAACCAAAAGACTTAAGTAATATTCTCCTAAGCAATTAAACTTGATTAAAATGATTTCTTCCAACAATGCACTTTATCAACATTAAAAAGGAATAAAATAAAACATATAAGAAATATTACCTCAGTCACTGTTGCTTAAATGTAACCTCAGGGTTAATGCTGCCCACATTAAATATGTGACCGTTAGCCCTAGCTGAGTTTTCCTAAGGAATATGAGACAACTCTATTGCTAAAAGGAATAAAATAATATAAATACAAGAAATATTTACCTCAGTCACTGCCCCACATTGAATATGTGTCCGTTAGCTCTGGTTGAGTTTTCCTCACTGCTTCTATAAAGCAAAAAAGAAATAATAATGAGAGAAATGATATTTAAGGCACAATAGGGAGTACTAAGGAAGCTATATATATATTTTGACACCATTAACTAGATTTTGAATAGAAGTACTAATATTAAAGTAAAAGAAAATAGCTCGATAACAAAGAGAGAAAAAGAAAAGAAAAAATGAAAAATAAGGAAGTAACGGGACTAAAGTATTTTTTGTTTGTTTGTTTTGTAACTTCTGTGAGTTTTAAGGACATAATTTAAGTATCAAAAGTCAAGGGAGCTCACCCAATAACATGCACCCACTACCATTATGAACAACTTGTACAATCCAGAGCTTAGGACTATGCTACCCCCTCTATAGAACCAGTAATAACTTTATTAGAAAGATCTTTATAAGTGGTTTTTTTTAAACTAAATATTTACTTCCATTTTATGTGTTTCTAGAATCAATTTTAGCTCCAGCCTCATAATCTGTGGAAGCAGACCTTGCCAACAGGGCAGTGTTGTTGTGATTGGACCACAAGCCCAATGGTAAGCTAAGACAAAAGAAAACGTAAATATACATAATAAATGTATATGTGTGTGAAAATGTAAATCAAAATAAGATAGCAAGCATGAAGATATACAACACCTTTAAATGATTGAACTATTAAAACAGAGATAGCATACAATATAAAACCTAAACTGCAAAATGTAACGAGTAACAAGTTGTGAAGTAATTTTTCAAAATCATATCAAAACCCTAAAATATAAAATCCAATCTTATATACAAAATACAACAAGAATTAGGAAGAAAAACCAACAAATCGTGAAGTGATTTGAGTTCGAAAATAGAAACTTACAAAGATTCGAAGACTTTGTAGGGTGATTCGGACAAATCTCAACAGGCCAGTGGCCTAGCGGTATCAAGTCCCTACTTCTCAAAGAGAGGTCAGGGGTTCGAGCCTCCATAGAGGCATGTGTGTGTGAGTACCCAACTAGGAAAAAAAAAAATTCTCTCTCTAAAGTTCGTCGCTTGGTGATGGGGACATAGCAGGTGAAGAGAAGCCTAGGGTTTGGGAGAGACCCATTAATAGATTGAGGGGAAGATTGCGTCTGTGAGAGTTTGAGGGAAGAGAAATCGCGCGCAGTGGGAGAGTTTTTTTTTGGGAAGTTAAAGAGTGGGATAGATTTACAGGGAATTAATTTTTAAAAAAAAAAAAAGATTTCCAGCGATGGTTTCAAGAAGATAAAAAATCTTAAACCCGGAAACCCACGTCGCATTGGGAAAATAATGATGACTAGTGACGAATTTTTTAATTTGTCCCTAAAAGAAGATGCTAACAGTGATGAAGTATAGTTTCGTCTCTAAAGGGCCATTTTTAGTGATGAAACCAGCCTCGTCCCTAAGATTTCATCACTAAAGACCACTTTTGTTGTAGTGACTTACTTCCATTCCTTAGTTGTCTAACAAATTAATTGTACCCAATTCTATTTTCTCTATTTACAGGTTCAAGATTATAATCTTCTTTTGGGATACCTGGGTGTGCTTCTTAGGGCATTAGAATATGATGACGGGCACTACAACGAGGATATTAAGACAAGAAAAACACAAGTAGTGTAACACTGACTAATTGGGTTACCTAGAAGAGTGAGCAGTTGCCTATTTTGATTTTTTGTGGGTATTGCTACTTGCCAGGTTACAATTTTTGTGCGTATATATATATATGTCAACAATGATGGAATTGTACATTGAAATCTTTAATGAATATAAGACTTCTTGAAATTTATTTGTTTGTGATCGGTGGGATTTGCCCTTTTTTATTTTTTGTATGACTTGAGCTATTTTTTTGCATGCATCAAATATGTTGATGTTGATTTGCACAAGGCTTGGTGTGAAAATATATGGCTTTGGATGGAGTTTTGGTTGTGTAATATTCATTGAAAAACAGGCATATAGTTTTGTGTTAGATCTCATGAAAAACAGGCATACAATTTTTTTGGGGTTGGAAAAAAAAAAAAACTTTTCACAAGGGGCAAAGTCCCTTGTAGAACAGGCAAAAATCGTTGTGGAAAATTACATTTCTAAGAGGGGTTATGTTCTTCGTAGAAAATCACACCTTCTACAACGGGTGCTTATACCCGTTGTACAAAAATTTACTTTCTACAGCGGCCATTGCCCCTTGTCGAAGTATGAACTTCTATTGTGGAAAGTTACATTTCTAAGAGGGGCTATGTCCATCGTAGAAAATTATACCTTCTACAACGAATTCGAACACCACCAGCTTCATGCCCATTGTGGCCAATTGTAGAACTGTTTTCGCCCCTTGTTAAAAGCCATTTTTCTTGTAGTGTTCACATCAGATCATGTATTTTATGATCTTTATATTATGTTAGCTAGCTCTTGTTGAATTGCTTCATAAGATTCATAAACTTTCTGTTATTCCTTTTTCATCTTGACAATTACGAATTTTTCTGTACTTTGTTCTTACAGTTGCTTATTATACATAGTGCGTTTCTCTGTTTAACCTTGGTAGGAATTTCCACTGTGGACTAATTGGTTATCAGCAAGTGAAGAAAGCTTCTCCTGTTTCAGTGCCTTCCCAGAAACCACTTCTTTCAAGAGCCCATAGTCGTGTAGAGCAACCCGTGCTACTGAATCATGGTTCATTGATAATTGGATAATCCATGACCAGTTTCTCCTGAAATTGGATCCTTCGAATATGATGTGGCCACTCCACACGTCTCTGCTAGAATATTGACAGCCATTATCTTGGGTATGCTTTCTTGGTTGGATTCTTTGAATTAACTATGCTTTCTTGGTTGGATTCTTTGATCAGAATTGTTGTAGTTTCTGTTGCTGGAATCAATTACAGTACAGAGAACTGTGGACTGAAACTTGGAAAATGCCTTATTGATCCATATTAGACTTGCAATTTACAAGCCGGACTAAATATGAGGAAGGAAGGAACAAGCTTCTGCAATGGAATTTGAACATGCAAAATGGCCCACAGATTCAGGGTGTTTGCAACTGATGCCCTTCTCTACATTGGAGTCGATCAGGTTTGTTAAAATATGCCTATCAAAATTTTAATAGACTACGGGAATGTCATGTAATGTTTGACGAAAGAAATATATGTATTGAAACAAAGGGAAATGTTTTGATCTGCTTACACTTCTAGTCTTTTTAATTACATCTCACAGAATTATGCATTTGTTTGCTGCGATTGCCATTAGAAAATGCATGTTCAACAGTTATATCAGTATTTGTATCATATGCTTATTGGAGAGTTGATTTTGGTTCTATTGTAGGTTTAAAATGTTTATGAGAACCAGATATAAACTTTTTGCCTTTTTATTCTTTATTTGTGTGGCTTTCATTTGTAATCTATGGTTAACCTCCTCCTTTGTGCCCCTTGGGATGTCCCTAGTAATATTTTATGGTGTACAAGATATATTAGTACCTTGTTTCTCAAATATGTCTATTCCTTTTTCTTTCAACATGTACTTCTGCAAGCGCAGGAAATGATATATATATTTTTATCTTTAAGAACATCTGGCTGGAGAAACTCTGTGCATCAACGCTACCCTTATCTCTTTAGTAGTCGGTATACACGTTGAAAGAGGAGTCAGTATACAAGAAAATGAGAAACCCCATTCACAGTAGGTACAGCACGGGTTTACTTTATATGTTTATGAAGCTTGCACTAGCTCAGGCTTGGCTACTCTCGTCACTTTTTTTCTTACTATTGCCACATTAACACTGAGAACAGGCGGCCTCATTATATTACAGGATCCGTTTAGTTGATTGACAATGCCGTGTGGCAAAAAGTTGAGGTAAAGGGAAGCAATAATTGAAGATCTAGGTCCCAAGTGTATGACCTCCACCGCCAAGCTTGCCCTGACTTGCACCACTACATCACCCAAAGTACAAAATTGAATAACCCAACTTGCTTGTTCTTTCTGAATCAAATTCAAACTGCACAGTCTAGGGTTTGCCTCTTTAGTTAGCACCGGATATGTTTGAAGAAGACGAAGACAACATTAGTCTAGGGTTCTCTAGACTAAAATTGTCCTTTTTCTTCTTTTGGGCCTTGATGGGCTGGTCTGCACTGTTTGTAAGACATGTTGTCTTCAGTTTCCTTTTTTTTTTTGGGTGTTGTCTTCAGTTTCCTTTTTTTTGGGTTTGGCTTCTTAGCCTTGTACATTCTTACTTCATTTATACAAAAAAAAAAAAAAAAAAAAAAAAAAATAGTTTTTATAAGCCAAGGAGATCCAAAAAGCCAAGAAGAAGAAGTCAGCTTTGTCTAATTCACTTGAACATATTATTCATTCCACCTCTCTTTCTTTTCTTCTATCATACAAAATCCTAAGAGAGACAGAATGCAAACACAGAAATAAACAACTAACAAGAGTGTAAGAAAGTTTCCATGACACCCAGATTGAGTTGCATGCTTGTTTCAACCTCAAGCTGCCCATATCTCACCTGGGCCTCCTCCTCGATCTTCTCTCACTCTTAACTCTCCGATCTCTGAGGCTGGCCTCTTGTTTGGCCATTCAGTCCACCACCGAATACCATGTACGTACATCCCAACCTTTATCAAAGCAATGGAAACTCTCTCACAACTCGTGACCACCCATCAATGTCAACTCAACAACACCTCTACCTGTCCTAGCCCAATGCTTCCAAAACCATCATTTCTTACACTGCTGTGCCGCGAGTCCAACAAAACTCCCCAGTTTCCTCTCTGCCCTCTCTGTTCGTGTATATATATATATACTCGAAGGGTGCTTTCTAAGATACGATAATTATAGCTTCTACAGTGAAAGCATCGACCCTTTTACTGATACAATGAATTGAACTGCTCAAATAGAGAGGCAATAGGTAGTGAAGCAAAAAACTTGGATTTTGGGAAGAATTTTGGGTTGCTGATAGTGATAGATAACAAGGGCCTCCAAGAATTGACAATGGGGTGAGCTAAAATTAAATATAAATTTAATAACATAATTTCTGAAGCAATTTTTTATTTTATTTTATAACATAATCTATATAAATATTTTAGGCCAGAACAGTGGTGGACCGGTGGAGTTGTGGAGATGAGAACACAGGTCTGGGAATTGCAATTCTTAGGGCTAGGACCATAGCACCAGTTGATGTATTAGGCCCTGTTTAGCTTGGGCCTGTTTGGATTAGGCCTTTATTTTAGCCTTGGGCTTGTTTGGGTGGGCTAGTACTAATAATAAATTTTTTTTTGGGCTGGGATAAATTTACCCATAGTAATAAATTTTTTTTTTTGGGTGGGCTGGAGCCCAGCCCAGCCCAGCCCTACCTTAAATCCGCCATTGATAGATAATTTGACTAATGCTGCTGTGTCGAATGGAGGATTCGCCAGTCATCCAAGCAAGGGAGTGTATGGTTTGACCTTGTTATTTAATATTAACAAAACTTTTCAAGTCATTTCTAATTTTAAACCCGCGACTGACCCACTAAATAGTTTGTAAAATGTCAACTTTAACCTTGTTATTTAATATTAAATTAAAAGTTATAATTTTTATTTTAAAATTAAAAATACTCCTTAAAATAATATTATTTAGTATTAGATGAATTGTTATTTTAATAGTGATCTATGATTCATTTTTCACCTCCAGTATTATTTTTATAATTTTATAATAATAATTATAACTTATAATTTAAGGTAAAGTACATTGACACCCCCTGAGGTTTGGAGTAAGGACAGCCAGATGAAACTTAACCTATATTGGGACAAAGACACCCCTCAAGTTTGATACAGTAACCAAAGACACCTTAATAGTAATGAGTTGACATTTCTGCCCTTTGACTTTTATATTAACCATGAAATGACATTTCTGCCCTCAGATACCCATTCCAATTTCTTTCTCTCTCCTCTGTTCTCTCTTCCGCCGCCCCAACACCAACACACACACATACATATATACACAGACACATACATATATATATATATGTATATACAAATACATATATATATATACAGGTGGCGATGGTGAATGGATGCGGGCCTTCATCCTTCGATTCCATCGGTGAGCTTACCCAACGCCGGAGTACGCAAGTCATGAGTTGGGCTTAATGGCGTCTTCCGCCGCCCCAACACCAACACACACACATACATATATACACAGACAGATACATATATATATATATATATGTATATACAAATACATATATATATATACAGGTGGCGATGGTGAATGGATGCGGGCCTTCATCCTTCGATTCCATCGGTGAGCTTACCTAACGCCGGTGGCAATAGTTGTTCGACGAGGGCGACGGTGAGTGCTCTCGCTCGATTAATTCTCTCTGTCAGGTCTTGATCTATCCCACGGCGGCGCACAAAATTGGAGCCATCAGTCTGACGAAGCTTCAAACTACAAGACCTGATTCTGTCCAGCGAGCCCCAAATCCGGTGAAGCCCAGTTCAGATCGACGGACCCCAAGCACGAATTGTTCCCGCGACCTAGAAGAAGATAATGAGGTTTCAACATATTGAGAGGGATCGCAGATAACTGGGTGGTTGCGTCGCCTTGCGTAATTGGAGGGTATGCTGAGAAGGGTACGCAGATCTGACTCTGCTTTCTGGATAATTGAGAGGAACTTTTTCCCTCTGTGGCTCATTTCCATCACGCTCATTACGCCAATTTTAGAGCTCAGATTTGGCCATCTTGGACACGTTTTCAGGTAGAGTGGCTGGACCGGCGGCGAAATTGAAGACCCGATCTTGGGATTGGGAGGTGAAGGTTGGGCGATCTTGGACTTGGGTTGTTGAACAGGTGATCGATATGGGTTTGTTGAGGCACGAAGATAGGTTTGAGGGGGAAGCCATTGAAGTGGGTGGTGGAGACTGTGTTGGGGCTTTTGAGAAGGTGAAGGTTAGGGTTTTTCAGGAGGAGAGGATGAGGTGAAGTTGTTAACATTGCCATGGTGTTTTTGAAGTTGGTGACATTGCCATGGTGATAGACCAAAAGCTTGATCATTTCCTTCCGTTGGAGAGCTTGAAGGCCAAGGCGGTGGTTTGGGGGTGGGTGTTGGTGGTTGTGGAGTTTTGGTGTGGTTGTTGCAGAATCCGGTTATAGGATTGATGGGGGTGTTGAGGGTAATTTGGTCATTTAATTATTTTAATATTTTATAATTAAAATTAATAAAATAATGAAGGGTAATGTTGACTTTTTATATGTTTTAAGGCTCTGTTTGGCTTGCAAATATTATTAGGGGGTTTCATTGTCCCAAAACAGAGCAAGTTTCATCTAGCTGTCCTTTTGGCAAACCTCAGGGGGCATTGATATACTTTACCCTATAATTTAATATTAAATAATAAGGTTAAATTTGACATTACATAACTAATTTAACATCGACCATTTGGGGGGACTTGATGGAGTTTTGTTAGTTGGTTTTTTTAATTCTACTTCCATTCCTGCTACTTGGAATGTGAATGGAATGTGAATGAATCATTATGAAATGGAATAATTATTACTATTTTATTGTTTGGTTGACTATCATTAAATCTGAAATGGAATGATTTTTTTCAAAAATATCCTTTTTATTTGCTTACACGTTTATTCAGTTTCATAGGATGCGTTTATTCAGTTTCATAGGATTGGAATCTTCATCCAATGGTTACAACTTAGCCTTTTACTGGAAACATTGTCCACTTTCTTTCCATAAAAAAATCAAACGGTTCACTTTTGACTTCACATGATTGTTAATTTTTATTTTATGTTATCTTTGCTCCATATATAAATGTTCGAAAAGAGAAAGATGGAAAAATCAAACAAACGTTTCAACACAAAAATAATAATAAAGTGATATACTCAGAAGATAAATAGATTAATACCTGCAATTTGGTTGAAGATCCTACAACTTTTTGTCAATGACAGCCCTGGGTATATTTAGAAGACAAGACAGGTTAAAGACCTTTACCACGTGAAAAATGGAATGTGAAATATTTTTTTTATTTATGCAAAAGATTTTTGCCATATTGGAATGTGATGAAGGGTTTGTTGGAAATATTACAAAAATATTTAATGGAATAGATTTTCATATGAATAGTAAGAATGGGAAATCTAACTAGACAAGTATTATTAATATAAATAATTATTTATTAATTGATATAAAAGAGGTTTTAAAAGAGTTTCAATAAAACTTTAACATAAATTACCTATGAGTTTTTTTAATAAAAAAGATCTAATTAGACAAAAATTGTTAATATAAAAAATATTTATTAATTGATATAAAAAGAGTTTTTAAATGATTTTATATTAAACTCTAATACAAATTACCTATTTATTTATTTATTATGAGTTTTTTTTAAAAAAAAAAACTAATTAGATAAAAATTATAAATATAAAAAATATTTATTATTAATTGATATAAAAAATAAATAATTTTTTCTAAAATTCTACCACAAATTACCCTTTTTATGAGTTTTTTTTTATTATTTAATAAAAGGTAATATAATTAGACATGAACTATTAATATAAAAAATACTTATTAATTCATATAAAAAGAGTTTTTAAAAGATTTTCTATAAAACTCTGACACATATTACCTATTTATTTATTTATTATGAGTTTTTTTAATAAAAGAAAATATAATTAAACAAGAATATATTTAAAAAAAATAAAATAATTTCAATAAAATCAACCACAAATTAGCAGTTTTATTTTCTATAAAACTCTATCACATTATTTATTTATTCTGAGTTTTTTAATAAAATAAAATTTAATTAGACAAGAATATATTTAAAAAAAATAAAATAATTTCTATAAAACTCTATCACAAATTAACTATTTTATTTTATATAAAATTCTATCATATATAACTTGTATTTATTTATTTATTATGAATATTTTTATAGAAAATAAAATACTTTCTATAAAACTCTACCACAAATTATCTATTTTATTTTTTTAAAACTCTTTCACATATAACTTGCATTTATCTATTTATTATGAGTTTTTTAATATAAGGAAATCTAATTAGACAAGGTTATATATATTTAAAGATAACAAAATAATTTTTTAAAAGAGTTTATATAAAACTCTAAGGCAAATTACCTATTTATCTATTTATTATGAGTTTTTTAATATAAAAAAAGTCTAAATAGACAATAATTATTAATATAAAAAATATTTATTAATTGATATAAAAAATAAAATAATTTTTCTAAAACTCTACCACAAATTACCTTTTATTGTAAGTTTTTTAATAAAAGAAAATAAAAT